CCCTGATGTGCCACTGTCTCCAGGGCTCCCAACAGGATGGGCTGACTCGGACTCTGTGAGGGGGAGGGGGTAGCACTGATGGGTCCTCCATTTCAGCAGCCTCCTTCCAGCCTTCCCCATGAGCTGCTCACTCCCATCCCATCCTCCAGGGTCTCCCAAACCAGCCACTCCCTTCCCATAATCTACCACCTCATCCTCTCTCAGCCTCAACTTTCAAGTCTCCCCCAAACTGCCACTAGAGACAAGGAGCTCAGCTAAGACCTTGAAGGGCCTCGTCCCTGGAGATGCCATTCCCTTGGCCCAGCATAAAGGGGTGCAGTGGAAGCTCCCCCAAGGCTGAATGGGGAAGAGGCCACAGCTTAACACCCCACTTGGACCCCTCAGAGCCTGATGTTCTCAGATTCTCCCCACCCCTTCCCTCATTCCCAAGGGCCCCACACTAGCCAGAAGGTTGTTTCCCATGTCCCAACCCACTTACTGCTCTCCTTGCAGCAGACAGACACCTGGAGCCTCAAGCACTGGCCAGAACTCTCCGGAGTTGGCACTGCTGGGTGGTAGGGAATCGGGAGGAAGAAGTCAGCACAGGCTAGTTTGTATACCTCAGACCCAGTTTCACACCCCTGCCTCCCTAGCTTCTCTTCCCTCTAGTTCCCTGGAAAGCTTTTCCTTACTTTTGGGCCACACCCAGGTGCCAGGCCCCATCCGTGCTCCTCCTCATCCCCCTAGTCCCCTCTCCTAGCTCCTCTTACTCTCTCCTCCTCTCTATAGACTCACTCGAGATGTCCCCCTACTCAGTCCTGGACTCAGGCCCTCCCACCCCACTCCCTGACCACAGCCCCTCCCCATCCCAGGCCTGGCCTTCGTTCCCAGGCCTCTCCCTACCCCTCACCTCAGGCTCTCTGCCTTGACTGGTGGCAATGGCAGGCCACCCCATTCCTTTCCCCACCTTCCCCAAGAGGCGGCCACTGCGCCCTTCCTCACTCACAGATGTAATAGTAGGTCTCTCCGGGCAAGAACTCGAAGCCAAGGGAGAAGGGTGTGAAGCGCTGAATCTTCTCTGAGAACGGAACAGGGCCAAAGGGAGCGAAGGGGAAGGAGCACACCCAGCGCTTGAAGGCCCCTGCCCCCTCTGCTCGGCAGGCCTCATAGCCCGGCCGGTCCACCATGTATAAAGCAAACGTCTCGGGGCCCTCGGGGGGCCCTGGACCCTCATAGTGTGGGCAGAAGATGTCTAAGTAATCGTTGAGGTGCAGATTCACCACGGCGTCTCCTCGAAGCAGCCTGCAGGCACAAGGTGGGCGCGGGCTGAGGGAGTTATGGCACAGCACGCCTGGGGCATGAGGGTCAGAGATACCCCTTCCCAATGGTCCCTACCAGCCTCTCCCCCACACTAGAGAGGGAGTACCTCAGCAAGGCCTGAGTTCCCCAGGCTGACACCTCTTGAGAGACGAAGAGTGCAAGAAATGGCTGAGGTAACCGATTCTCGGGTTCAGAGACGTTACAGGACTCAGTGCCCATAACCATGTGGCTCAAACGTGAGAAGGCCACTCACCACACCCTACCTTTCAGGTTGGAGCTGTCACCCTTCTCTCTAGCCCCAGTGCCCAACATGGGCTGGCACAGCACCTGTGCTTGATAAACGTTAGGTAGATGGCTGCTGCCAAGAAGCTGGGGCACAGAGGCAAGGGGTACAGATCTGGGTCCACAGTGCAGCCACAGATGCAGAGATGGAGACTGGGAACAGCATCCTCATTAACAGATGCAGAGAGAGGAAGACTGCCCTTTAGACCTCAATCCAACGCTGAAAAGAATGCCACGGTAAAAAAAAAAAAAAAAAAGAATGAGAGAGTGGATGGGGGGTGCCTCTCTTTTTTTGCCAGGACAAGGAAGTGCCAGACATGGAGGGGAGCGCCCTCCACATATCACACAATCTTCGGCCTCCTCACGACTCCCTTCCCTACCTCTTGGGAGCTGCCTCGGGGGGAGGCGGTACAAGCGGGAAGGGCTGAGACAGGTTGCCCCCCACAGCATCAAATATAGCATGAGCCACTTCCCCTCTCCCCACCATGCACGCAGCCCAGCTTGACTTATGAAAGGCCTCCAACTGTCCCTCAATGGGTGGTCCAAGGACCACCTGCACCAGGAGTTCTGATTAGAGATGCAGATTCCTGGGCTCAGCTCAGACCTCTAGGACACAAGCTGGGCCTTTGTATGTTTTATTCCACAGCATCTTCAGTGCCTGGACAAGTGTCCTGCACAAGGACAGCGCTCAGTAAATATGTGTGGATTGAATGAATGAACCAGAAACCTCGGGGTTGGGGGCTAGGAACCTGAATCTTTAACAAGTCCTCCAAGTGATTCAGAGGCACTGGTCTGGAACACAGAGGGAGGAATTGTTGGAAGACAATAGCTCTCATCACATGGTATTGGTATTGTAATGACCTGTCTGGAGACCTCCCTCCCAGGGGTCTTTGGGCTCCCAGAGGGCAAAGTCTAGATTTCATCCCTCTAATCTCCAGCACCACAGCACAACCCCTGGCACACAGTGCACACTTAATAAATGCTAGTGAGTGAATGAATGGACAGAGTCACAGACTCTCTCAAGTAGAAAATCAGAAAGGAAAACACACGGAGAAAACAGAGAGAGGCAGGGAGCATTGGAGAGGACGATGGAAACAATAAAAAATACCGAGGTTCAAAGGCTGACATCTCAGGAGAGAGAAAGAAATAGTTTATATAGCTGTGCAGCCTGCACCTCTTTCACACACATGACCTCAGTCAGCCCGCTGGATTTCCCAGGGTACTAGGTATTATTAGCCCATTTTACAGATGAGGTAACTGAGGTTAGGGAGGTCAAACGACTTGCCCAAAGGTGATTCAGCTAGAAGGGCAGGGACGAGACTGGGAGAAGTAGAAGGACTGATGACTGAGATGAAAGCACAGATGAGAACAGGAGACAGGGAGCGCCAGAGGGGAGGCCAAACGAGCAGGAGGAGAGTAACCCACGCTCTTCCACGAGAGTAAAGCCCCCTCCCTCCCTCTCAAGTCCACCCGCCCCAGCTGGGGTCGGAGGAGTCTGGGGATCATCAGGAAAGGAGCGAGGGGGGCGGGGCTCGGAGTGCAGGCCAAGGTCCCCCAGCTCTCGGCTCCGAGACCCCACCGACTGCTCTCGAGGGTGGAGTCCTCGCCCGCCCCCAACACGTGCGGGCGGGGGGAGACCCGGGGCGCGCCTCGCCCCTCCCCCCTCCCCCGCCGGCTCAAACAAAGGAGCCCCGGCGCGCGGCCGGGCTCAGGCGGCGCCGCGCACAGAGCGAGTGTCGGGCGCGCGCCCGGCCCGGGCACGCGCAGGCCCGGCTTGCCGCTCGCCGGGTTCGGCCCGGCTACCTGGGGTTACTGGAGTTCCAGTAGACGGCGTGGCGGAGGCCGGAGCCCCCTCGCAGAGAGGAGCCGAGGAACGCGGCCCAGAGGACAGTCTGCAGCAGGGGCAGCAGCCGCATCGCCCCCGGGGTCCGGTCTGATCTGGTCCGGCCCGTCACGGCCGCCTTCGCAGTCGCCGCGAGAAAGGTACAAAGTGGAGAGGGGGGAGTGGGGGGAGGGGGGTGGAGAGCCAAGACTCATTGGCCACGCCCCTGGGTAACTTTTCACCAATGGGAGCACGTATCCGCCTCTCCACTGAGTGCCAACTCTCGTTAACCCTCTGTGCGCCGTAGCGCGCGCCAGGTTAGTCAAGCTCCGAGACTAGACCGCGTTGCGAGGGGACGGGGAGGAGGGACGTATTCTACTATCTAGGAGTTTTTCTTTAGGGAGGTCGTGTCTGCATCAATATAGGGTAGAAAGCCTTATTAGAAGTTTGGAATATTTAGGGCCGGCCCCGTGGCTTGGCGGTTAAGTGCATGCGCTCCGCTGCCGGCGGCCCGGGTTCGGATCCCGGGTGAGCACCGAGGCACCACTCCTCCAGCCATGCTGAGGCCGCGTCCCACATACAGCAACTAGAAGGATGTGCAGTTATGACAGACAACTATGTACTGGGGGTTTGGGGGAAAAATAAATAAATAAAATCTTTAAAAAAAAAAAAAAAAAAAAAAGTTTGGAATATTTAAATAGGAGCACAAGCCCTTTGCCCAGAAAGAGGAAAGTGAGGCACGGGAGAGTATCCACCAAGCCTGTCCAGCCACCTTAGCACATTGCCTCTTTTTCTTAGCACATTTAGGGATAGCGCGAGAAGGGACAAATCGCCTCCTGCCCCCCACCCCCACCCCAGACACAGAGCCTTAGCTGGCAAGATCGAATGCCTACCTTGGGATTGGCTCCTGTCCCTTTCCGCCCCACACCTTCGTTCTGGGCTGGGGACCCACGCAGCCCCAGTCCCAAAGACGAAATAATCAGGTGGTTGCGGCCTGTACAAAGCGCCTTTGTTCCCAAGCCCTCGGGTGGGGGCGGGGGAGGGGGAGGAGGCAGGTGCGCGGCTGCGGGATCGTGGGAGCCACCGTCTCGCTCCACCCCGGCTCCGGGCTCTGAGAACACCAGCCGGATCCACTTTCCCCAGCCACTGGTCAGAGGGTGGGGACGGAGGGTCCAACGGCTTGGCCGGTTTGTCGATAGCCGCCTCCAGGGGCCGCGCAGCGTTGGGGGCGAGGACTTGGCGACTGGGGGCGGCAAAGGGCGTACCCTGTGGTACTGGACTGCGCAGAGAGTCATCCCAGACTGGACAGAAACAAGCCTCGAGCATCCCGGGGACACACGCTGACCCAGCCTGGGACTCTCGCCCTCCCTGTGCCGTCTTCGTCTGAGGCGGCAGCGTCTCCTGGCGACCAGACCTGGAACCGCAGCAGGGGCGACCCAGTGTTCCCTCAGAAGACAAACTCCGAAGCACGCTCCCAAGATCTCATGTTTATTGCAACTGAGCAGAGACAGGCTGTGCGCACTTCCCTCAGCCCGGTCCAGCGCCCAGCCCCTCCCCAACCCCCAGCTGCAACTGCGTGGGCAGGTCCCCAGGGTGCTGCTCTACAGCGCGTGGAGGTGCCCCATGTCTTAAGACGCCTGCTCCGCTCCAGTCTCCAGCTCTTTGGGTCATCGCGGGGGGCCCCAGGGGGCGGGTCCGCCTCTTGAGGTCCTAAGTTCGGGTTGGAGGCAGCGAAACCTCAGGAAAGATCAGAGGTAGAGCGATGACACTGCTGGGGGCGGCGGGGCAGGCCTGGGGTGCAGGAAGCCGAGAAAAAAGGTCAGAGGTCTCTTTTCCCCAGACCACTTGCCCTGCTCACCCATCCTCAGTGCCCCTCCTCACTTACCTGGAGGGTAACACTAGGGGCGGGATTCCAGCTTCTGGGCCAGGGAGGTCCCCCAAAGGGCGCTGGCCCTGGGGGTCAGCAGGCAGTGGCTTCCTCGGGGGTGGGGGCTTGACAGGCCCCTGAGACTGAGAGAGAGAAGGCAGGAGGCCAGCTTGGGAGGGGGTGTCATGTTGCCTGCCCCCAACACACTGGTGCTGGGGAACACCAGTTTGGGGGGGGTGGTCACCTCTGTCTCCAAACAAACCTGTCACCATTAAAGACACCACTGGGGTATGTGCCCCTAGGCACTCGGCCACCACCATCGCCATGGCTACCAGCACCACAGACCTGGGTGGGGGGAGAGGCTATGCCCTTCTCTCCTCCCACTGTTACCTTTGAGCGCCTCACGACTGGGTCAACGGGCAGAGGGCGGGTGGGGGGATTAGGTCGGTCAGCCAGCTCAGCCTGAACAGAGAGAGGGGCAGTAGCTGTGAGAGCACAGCCAGGGGCAGTGGGCATGCAGTGGTTCTCTTGAGGGGTTCAGGTCAACATGCGAAGTCAGCCAGGGGGCAGGAGAGATTGGGGAGAAGCGCTCAGGGCTTGGGTGCATGCCAGCAGATGCCCCAGGGGAGGAAGGTATGGGTCACCGGTGGTGTCCCTGGCCAACTGCAGTCCCGCCACTGACCACCAGATGGTGGTAGAAACCAAGGCAGGAGGCTCACCCTTTGCTGCTTCTGGGGCTCAGAGTGTCTGAAGGCTGAGGGGTACCCTGGTCCCCTAATGAAGAGCACCACTGGCAGGAACCAGGGATGAGAACTGCAGTTGGGCACCAAGCTTCCCACCAGCCCTGGGCCAGGGTGGGGCCTGGCCCAGATTTACCTGGAGTCTCTTGGGCACAGGGTCAGGAGGCAGCGGCCTGGAGGGGGGGGCCGGGAAGCCAAGAGCACTAGCCTGCTGAGAGAGCAGGAGGAGCAGACAGGTACAGAGGGGGTGGGGGGAGCGGAGAGACAGATGTGGGCAGAGAGGGGTTAGTGCCCAGGGAGGGGCAGCCAGGGCCCCAGGGGCAGTGGGGGCTGTGCATGCAGTTATTCAGTTGCATGCAGAGGGGGTGACAAGTCGTGGAGTGGGCATGCAGACCACCTTCACACACATACTCCTGTCATCAGATCCAGAGGGCTCAGGGCAGGGGCACTCACCAGCCCGTCTACATGGTGACCTGGGCCTCTTCAGGTCCTGGCACACTGAAGGCTATTCTGAGCACCACCCCCCTTGCCCTCCAGAGGCCACTGCTGGGAGCACAGGCAGACCCACCTCTCAAAGCCATCAGCTTGGCCAGCTCAAAGAGCTCAGCAGACCCTCCTCTAGGTGTCTGCCCCTCCCCACTCCAGGCTGGACTCTGCTTCTCGCCTGCAGCCAGGGAAGGGGAGGGGAGGGCTGGCCCTGACTCCTTTGACTGATTCTTGCTATGCGAGTCTTTCTCTGAGTCTAGAACCTTCAATAGCCCCCACCCCAGGGCCCAAGCTGGATGCCTGGCCAAGATGGGGACCTCTCTCTTCTGGCATCCAGGACTCACCTTGGCACCTGACACCAGCAGGGCCCTCTGCGGGGGTCCTGGGCGTTCTGGAGGACCAGACTGGGCTGCCCTGAGCATGGAGAAAGGCAAGGAGGGAGAGGGCCTAGCCTCAGACTCTGTTCTCCACCCATACAACCGACCCTTGAGTTACATGGTTGACCCTTTGCAGTCCCTTGGAGAGGAACTTGTGTGCGATTTAGGCCAAACTGGGGCGGGGGGGGTAGTTGATCAGCCTCAGGGAAAGCGCCTCTTACCCAGCATAGGGGCTTCTGGGGAGAAATGGCCCTGGCATCCCAGCTGCCCTACGTGGATCTACGTGTGAAGTGAAGAGCTGCAGAGCACATGTAGGGAAGGGAGGTGTGTAGGGTGTGGTCCAATGTGCTTGGGGTTAGAACCAGGGGGCAGGGGCTCCAGAGCTCTTGTCCTCAACACAGGTGTTTAGGGAGCTGGTAGCAGGGAGGCTGGTACCTGTATTGGCAGCTGGGTCCCTTGAGCTGGCAGAGTCGCTGGCGCAGGCGGGCACGGTACCAGTAGCTGGCACCAAGCAGCACCAGGACCACCATCAACAGGAGGCTGAGGGGCAGCCCTGTGGTCAGGGAGCTGGTTGCTGTGGGGTGAGGGCAGGTTTGAAGGTGGGCGGGGCTAGGAACTGTACTCCCAGGAAGGGGCAGAGGGCAGGGAGTGAGGTCAAATGATCAGAGAAGGTGTAGGGGTCAGGGGTCACAGAGAGTCGGGAACCAGGAGTGAAGGGGTCAGAGAAGGGGGGGGGGGTAAAGGATGAGCCACTTTGCTGCCCCTGCCGCCCTCCCCATGCTACCTCTGATCTGGGTGGTGCAGTCAGGGGGTGCCCAGCCCTCCTCACAGTGGCAGTGCTTGTTGCTGTCGCAGACCTAGGAGGTACAGGTTGAGCAGTGAGGGGCTCTGCATTCTGTTCCCAGCTTTTCAAGATCTCGGATGCCCACAACTGGAAGGTGTGCTGCGGATGGTGGGTGGAGAGAGCCCGCGCTCTGGAGAGGAGTCTTTATCCGTGCCAGGGGAAATTAGATTGAACTAACACTGTGAGTGCCTTCTATATGCTGGACACTGTGCTAGAAGCTTTCATACTCATGTCATGGACCCCAGGAAGTGGGTACTATTATTATGCCCAATGGATAGATGAGGAAACTGAGCTCAGAGAGGTTAATAACCTGCCCCAGGTCACACAACTAGGAAGTGGTAGAGCAAGGATTAGAACCCAGGTATATATGTTTCCAAAGCCCATCATCCTTTTCCACCCCACAGGCTCCCTGGTCCCCCTCCATCTCCCTGATGCCAGCTCACCCCATGCCCATGGCATTTCCTCCGACACTCCTGAGCTCCCAGGAGATCCACGGGCTGGCATCGATGGTTGATACACACCTGCCCCATGGGGAGAGAAGAGCAAAGATCACATTCTCACAAACCTTTACTGGTACTGGGAGGCCAACAGGACTGAGGCCACACCCCACTTTTATAGATGGGGAGGCTCATGGGATGACTTGAAGTAAAAATCTGCACTCCCCTCAGAGTCTGTGCTTTCTACACTGGTGGACAGTGAGGGCTGGGCACTGCTCGCCATGGTCCGGATATCCCTCCCCACCTGGTCTTGCCCACCCAGGCCACTCACCAGGCCAGGGCCACAGGCTGTGCCAGGAAGAGTCAGGAGGGGCTGGGCCACGTCATTGCCCAGGTCCAGGTGGACCCAGCTGCAATTCAGCTGGGTCCCGTTGACTTCCAGTGTCTCCCAGTGCAGATCCCGGGCTGAGCCCAGCAGAGGCTGGGCCAAACCCCCCTGGCATTGAAGCTGCCCGCAAATGGCATCTCTGGGTGAGGGAGGAGGCGCAGGGTCAGTGGGAGTGGAGCCAAGGCTCCCACAAACCCAGGGGAGGAGCCAGGCTTCCTCACTTACCTAGCGGCACAGGACACATAGCTGCCACGAGGGCTGCGCCCACAGCTCCCAAAGGCATCCCCTCGAGTGTTGGCAGTGAGGAGGCAAAGTGGCGTGGCGGGCTGGGCCCCAGGGCCCCAGAGAGCCTGGCACTGCTGGGTGTAGGAAGCACAGCGCCCTTCCATGCACACGGCCTGTCCGCCAGCACACGGCTCACCGTCCCCCAGGCTGACATCAGGGGGGCACTGGGAGCTGTTTCCCGGGCAGAACTCGGGCAAGTCACAGTCACCTCTGGGAGGGCGGCACTGCCAGCCAGCCGGGCGCAGCTGTGGAGGGTGTGTGAGCATCAGGGTGGGCACAAAGCCAGCCAGGCCCCAGGAGTCAGAATGACCCTTCCACCCTGGCCCCTGGTGGGTGAGCTCTGGGGGCCAGTCCAGTCTATGCCTACCTGGCAGTTTTGACAGCAGGGTCCATTGGATGCACACTGTGCCCCTGGCCTCAGCTGGCAGGTGACGTAATCACAGCAGGGATCAGTGCAGTCCTGTGGGCAAGGGCAAGAGGGCCCGAGCGTCAGAGCAGGCTGGGCCCAGAGCCCACCTCCCACCCATCCTCCCAGAGCCGAAACCCAGAAGGACGCCCACAGCCACACGGCCTGAGAGCTAGAGCCTGATAATCTCTGTGCCACCCCTGCAGATGGGGAGGTGGCAGAGGGCTGAGAGGTCTCTTCAGAACCAGAGACAGGCCCAAGAGGCTGGAGGCGGCTAATGAGCCAGGTGAGGGCACAGAAGTGAGGGGGGCAAGGCTCTGGGGGAGGGGCTCACATCCGCGAAGCCACAGTCGCACTGCTCGCCCGGGTCCACAAACATGTTTCCGCAGACTTTGGCCATAGAGGGCAGGCCGGGAAGCCGTTCAAAGAGGCAGCTGCCCATTCCATTCAGGAGAGCTTTCTCTAGGGCCCAACGGCTGCAGTTGCTGAAGTTCAGGCCGGGCAGGAAGCTGGGGAGGGCGGCAAGGGAGGTTGGAGCTGCGGACTGCTCCCTGCCCCCTACCCCATCCCCTTTCTACATCCTGCGGTTACTCACTCTGTGGAGGCCTCCATGATGCAGCTCTTGGCTGGGGCTGGACCTGGACAGGGGCAGCTGTTCCCAGGGGAGTCGTGGTCCAGGCCCAGGCTGTGGCCCAACTCATGGGCTATTGAGGAGGCGACTCCCAGGATGCTTGTGGAGTGGTCCTGTCATTGGGGAGGGATACCCCAGGTCCAGCAACCAACCTGACTGCTCCTGGTCTCTCCTCATCTGACCTCTTGGGCACTCAGCAGGCACCGCCTCCCTCCTTAATTGCTTCTAAAGTAGGCGGAGAGTCCAGGCCTGCGTGGCAGGAAACCTGGGTTCTAGCTCAGCTCTGTTCCCCCTCCCTCACTGTGTGGCCCTGGGAGATCACCTCTGTTCTTTGGGCCCCAGCTGCTCCCTTCTCCCCCAAGAAATGGGAAGACCTCATAGGTGAAGACCGCGTATACCGATGGGCTGGCCATAAGTGAGAAGTGCCCTGACAGTAGAGGCCACATCGCACACTCCTGCCCTCTACACCCACAGCTTTGGGGTTGGTAACTTTGTAGGGGGTTTCAGTGAATAAATGGTACCACAGTTGAGAGGAAGTGAATTGGGAATGGGTAGAAGACCTGGAACTAGCTCACCATGTTCACGCCTCCTGAGAAGTCAGGAGAACAGATGGAGTTCTGAATGGCCATGCCCACCACGGGCCCAGAGAATGAAGTAGCACTGTGGGATTGAGAGGTCAAAGGTTAGGGCCAAAAGCCAAGGTGGCCAGAACTTCAGGGCCTCACGTGGGGAGTCTGGGTGTGAAATTGGCCAGGCCACTGGCTTAGCCTGGGGGCCTTACGTCACCAGCTGGGCACTGTCGTGGGGCAATCGACGTAGCAAGTCTACCCGGCGCCAGCGGAGGAAGTTGTCTAGCGTGAGACCTGGGTCCTGGCTTATCTCTACCAGGTCGCGCTGGGTCCAGGCCTCCAGGCCCACGAGCACCACCCGGACATTCAGGGGCCGGAAGAACTGAAAGAGAACTGGGGCTCAGGAGAGGGGTTGCCATAGTCAGGAAGCCGTTAAGGCTGCTGCCCAGCCCAACACTCACCGTGTCCAGGAGGAGGGCCACTTCCAGTGTGCGGTTCAGCAAGCGCTGGAAGTCCTGGTACTTCTGGACCTGTGGGTCAAAAGAGGTGACCATGACAGGTGGCAGGCTAGGCAAGGGTCAGGGGAGGACATGCAGGGGCCAGGAAGCTCACCTCGGAATGGTCAGCCACAATCACCAGCTCAACAATCTTGGTCTCTGTCACCACATCCCGCCTCCGCTGTGGACAAGAAGGAGCATCAGGCACACCCACTCTCACTGCCAGCAGCCGCGGAGGGCTGACCAAGTGTGTCCACTCCCGCCCTGTGTGGTCAAACAGAGGAGAGTGAAGAGCCCATTTTACAGAGGAACCACTGAGAGCCTGAGAGGCCAGGGGCTTGCCCAAGGTGGACCAAGAAGTAGGTTATGAAGCCGGGAGTAGAGCCCTGCTTTTCCGGCTCCAACTTCAGTGCTTTTTCCAAATTTTAAAAAATAATAATAATAGCCAACACCCTCAAATACCATCTGCCAGGCAGAGTTCTCAGTACTTAACATATATACTGAGTCGTTTAATCTTCACAGCAACTCTGTAAGGTAAGTAGTTTTATTATTCCTGTTTTCCAAATCAGGAAATTGGGTTCTTATTGCTTTATGATTGGTAACTGCATTTTCTATACCCAAGTGAGAGCTCTCTGCATGTGGAACCATAAGACATGAGGACTTTGAGTCAAGTACCTGCATCTACATCCTGGATATTCCATTTATTGGTTGAATGGCCTTGGGCAAGTCACTAACCTCTCTGAGCCAATTTTCTCACTAAAATAGAGCTATTGATAGCACCTACCTCCCAGGATTGCTGGGAAGAATAAAGGCGATAATGTTCACAAAGTGCCTGGCATGTGGAAATCGCTCCATTGGAAGGAGCTGTTGTTCCTGTGAACAGCTCTGAGGGTCCGGGGGAGCCAGCCCGGGGGACAATAGCAGCCCAGCCCTCCTGCCATTCATCCTCACCCGGCGACTGTGGTTCCATCCTAGGGGGCGCTCTGGCGGAGCCTGAGTGGACACAGATGCACGCCCGCTCAGGGCACAGGTGTGGCCTGGCAGGAGAAGGTCTTGGATCCGAGAGATGATGGGGGGACCCTGAAGGTCCCCAGGCCCCAGCTCCAGGGCGTAGCTTCTCTCTGGCGACAGGATCACCAAGCCTCTAGGGAAAGATGCAGGAAGTCAGAAAATTTTCAGCTCCAGGCCTCATGCACACTCTCGGTCTCCATCTTCATGGAATCAGCCGCCTGTACCTGAGCCCTGAGCAGGTGCAGACGGAGACCCAGGAGTCAGCATGGCCCTGGACTCCTCCCTCATAGCAGCAGTGCTCCTACAGAGAGAAACATCAGTGCTGACTTGCAGGCCAGGCCAGGATGTGAGCCCAGGAGACTAGCTTGTGGGTGAGCCTCCCCTGGCAGCCTTCTTCCCTCATTCTCCAGGGATGGCACCCTCCACTGCCCCTCCCTTCTTCTCTCAGGCCAGAAACAGGGCACAAGAGGGCCTGACTCACCAGAGTGTGTCCCTCACTGACCACCCGGGTGCCATCAGGCTGGTACCACACCAGGGTTGGGCGGCCTGGTACTAGTTCCCTGTGGAATGAAGAAAAAGGAGGGCAGTGTCAGCTGCCTCCCAGGGTGGTGCAGGGACAGCCTGAGGCCTGCAGGTGGTAGGGGGGTGGCTGGGGGCCAGGCAATCCCTCAGCCTTCCTGCTTCCCCCAGAGGCAGCAGAGTGTAGTGGTTGGGCCACAAACTCTGCCAGGATATCTGGGTTCCAATCTGTTTTTCACCACACACTAGCTGTGTGACCTTAGGCAATTTATTTAACCTTTCTGTGCCTTGACTTCTTCATATATAAAATGAGGACAATGATAATACATAGTAGTAAAGGGTTGTTATGAGGATTAAATGAGTTTGAGCACTTAGTACCTGGCACATAGTAAATGCCATATAAGTTGTTAGCCGTGTTATTATTATTAATGTCACCACTATCATTATTACCTATTCTGTAGCAGCTCCAGGATATGACTCTCACCATCCAATTCCAATGTGATCCGCAAAGCCTCAGGCAGACTGGTCTGTGGGCACCAGAGGGCATGTCACCTCCCTGGCCCTGCCTGAGATTCCTATCCTCTCTAACCAGAAGACCTCAGGCCCTTAGGAGAGCACCAACGATGAGATCACTGGTGGGGGGATCCCGAGGGAGGGGCCAGGAAGCCCTGCCTGGCCTGGGGCATTGTTCTGGGGGGTTGTGTGGGGAGGTCAAGGAAGGTATCTGAGCCGCCCCTTCTCGGCTTCCTGCCGAGAGAGGAAGCATCGTGGAGGACCCAGTGCAGGCCCCAGCCCTTCCTCTGACTCAGCTTTAGAATTGGGGGGGGGGGGCATTGGGTGAGGCCTTGACCCTCTCCAAGTCCCCCCACTGAGAAAATCGACAACATGAGACCAAGAAAGCAAGTCTGGCCTCAGAATCTCCCCGGTGGAGATGGAGGGGTTGGGTGCGGCTGTGCAGACAGATGTGTGTGTAGAGGGGAGGGGGAGATAAGTGAAGCCAGGTGCTGGGGTGTAGTGGGAGAGGCTGCCATGCTGCAGTGAGGGCCACTGACCCACTCCTCGCCCAAGCTCTGCCTGGAGACACCTGATTATGTGGGGGTGGGGGGGGTGGGGAGGCCAGGTGGCTGGGGGGGGGCGTGTCTATTTGAGGGGAGAGGGCAGCTCACCTGAAGCACCTCTGCTAGGCTGAGCGTGAGGTTGTCCTGAAGGATCTGGGGCTCCAAGATCTTTCTCTCCGGCCTTCCTTGCTCCTCCTCAGTGCCACCTGCAGGGTCCCCAGACACCCCAAGAGAGTGCTGAGAGAATCAGCACCAGGGCTGGGGTGGCTGGTGCCCTCTGACCTGCCCAGCTCCCAGCAGCCAAGGCCCTTCTCTGCTTGAAGGACTCCTGCATTGCATGCTGGGACTTAAAGGAGAATACTAGGGGAGGGGGGCTTCTCTCTAATTCTTCACCTACATCCCACCACATCCACAAGTCCTTAGAAAAAGAAGTTCAGCTTGCCCCTCCCTGTCCCCCTCAGGCCAATCTCAGGTTCTCACAGGGACCCTCCCCCTGTTCCTACTCCCTCTCAAGCATCCCCCCCAGGAACGCCCCCCCCTCGGGACTGGGCGAAGCCTTGTGGCCCAGTGCCCACTCACCCTCCCCTTTCCTCACATCGGAGATGCCAGGAACGCCCATTTCTGGGTGAGCAGTGCAAACACCCCCGCCTAAACACCCTATGCCCAGTCAGGCACACCCGCTCCCCACAGCCTCCGCTTCCTCCCCGAGTCCCCCCCCCAACCCCCCACAATGGCCCTCTCTCCGCCGGACACTCCACCCCCGCCTGTCTTCTCGGCCCCCGGCCCAAGACAGCAAGACAGCAGCGGGAAGTGAAAGTTCCAAGGAGGAGCTGGTGTCCCAGCCTCTTTCCTGGCCAATTCTCCCCTCTCCCGGCTCCTCCTGGGCCCTCCCGCTCTGCCAAGTTTCTGGTGGCATCAGCACCAGGGTGAGGGATGCCTAGCCGCTCAGGCCTGAGGGGCCAGAAGAATTCTCTTCGCCAAACCCTACGAGCCATGCCCACTTGGCGCCCTGGCACCGGGTGGAACGGTCGGCTAGGCCCCAGAGGAGCGAAGACGTCAGTTCTGGGGAGCAGCGACCCTCTCCCACGATCCTGAGGTGGCGCTGGGCCAGGCCCCTCGGTGCCTGGTACCGGAGCCTGGAAGTGTCCACGAGGACCGTGCAGAGGATGCCCGGGCAGGGGGGCGCCAGCATCCCCCCACCTTCTCTCTCCACTCCATCGCCCAGTCGCCGCCGGGCCCTTGGCCCAGGACAGCGGACCAGAGCGGGCGACCCCAGTATCCCAATGCCCCTCGACTTCCCTGCGCGTCCTCCCAGTGCGCCCCCCCGGCCCACTCCCGGCCGGGCACTCACCTATATCTGGGAGCGGCCGGGAGGGCAGAGGGCTGCCCGCGCCCAGGAGCCCCAGGGCCCAGAGCAGCGCCAGCCGCATGGCAGCGGCGCCCGGGGCCGGGCGAGGGCAGCAGGTGCTGGGCCGCGCGCCGAGGAGCCGCGGCGGCCGGGTCTGCTTCGCGCACCCCGCCGCGCTGCGCAGCCACCAGGCCCCGCCTCGCCCCCTCCCACCCGGCCCGGAGCCAGTCTCCGCCCCCTCTTCAGCTCCGCCCCCTCGAAGACCCCGCCCCCGCCGCGGCCGGCTCCCAGAGAGGCTGGGACCCAGCCCAAGACTCCTGCTTGCCGCGCGCTGTTCTCCGCCGTCGCTTTCCTGCTGCTGTGCAGGGTGGGACCCGAGGCCCGGTCCGACCGGCTTGGGCGTAGCTCCTCTACGCGGCCGCGGGTCCCGACCCTTTCCTAGCAGTTTCGTTGCTCTCCCGCCTCCCGTCTGCGGCCCAGCTCTGCGGGGATCAGGTGGGCCAGTTCTCCTGACTGCGGGCCAGGCAGCGCCAGGCTCACCTTCCGGTACCAGACCCCTGCGAAGTGCGGGCAGCAGGAGTGTACAGGCATTTTATTAAACAGGAAGGAGCGGGGTGGCAGAGCGAGCAAGAGGCCCCTTCACTCTGCGTAGGTAGCGTCATCGTTGCTGTCGCTGTAGGCGGAGGAGGAGAGCTCTTCGCGGGGTGTGCAGACCGGGCACCGCTGCCGCATGTCGTCCCAGCACGACCGGCAATACACGGCCGCGCAGTCCCGCGTCGGGCACACGTAGGACTCCGGCGTCTCCGGTGCCTGGCACACCACGCAGCGCCTGCGCAGCCAGCGGCGCAAGAGAGGGCAGCGGCGGTGCAGGATGTCCGCCAGGTGGTGGCGCTGTTGGGGGGGCGAGGAGGGTTTAGAGCCAGTTGGGGAGCTAGGGGGAAAAAAGCGGTGCGAGGGGAATGGGACAGCGCTTCTTGTCTGAAGTCCAAAGACCTGACAATGCCCACATGTTGGAGGAAGCTGGGTTGGGCAAAGAAGACCCCTGGAGGGGAAGGATGCTATGGAAGTGGGTCCTAGAGAGTCTCCCTCCCCACTCTGTGATGGAGAGTGGGAGGATGCAGCCTCGACTCTTTCTCAGCCAGTAACAGCAACACCATCGCTCACACTTTCCCATAAATCTTCTTATTTGGTTCTCACGGTGGGGCTGAGAAGTCAGTAGGGCAGATAAGATTATCACTATTGTGTTCCCCACTTAACAGATGAGAAAGATGAATCTCATAAAGGTTAAGTGACTTTCCCAAAGGCACACAGGTAGTAAACAATCAAACCCGGCCAGACCCAGGTACACTGGTTCCAAATCACAAGCCTGGTTCATTATACTCCCCCCTCTCCATACAATTGCCAGGAATTCTCCACAGGCCATCTTATCAGGTCACTCTTTGGTCAAGAAACTCCAGGGGCCCCACTGCCTGCTAGACAAAGGTAGAACTCCTGACCTCGGCCTTCAGAGCCTTCCACAATCTGGTCCCTTTCAGGCCTCTGCTCCCACTTACCCCTTCCTGAACTTTGCATCTTCTGTGCGAATTTCTCCTTAAACTAGCCCTGGGACGTGGCATTCCCTTTGTACTCTGAGTCTTTGCGTGTTCTGTTCCCTCATCTTGGAATGAATGCCTTACACTTTTCTATCTGCCCATCAAAATCCAGTTTACTTCAGGTCCGGGTCATGGAATCACAGTATGTTCATTTTTGTATCAGACATTCATTCAGCCCCTATTGTGTGTCATGGGGGATGGGTGATCTAGGCACTGGAGGAAAAAGTTAAGCAAACATAGTCCCTCACTTTTATGAGCTTTGTTAGGGCTGGTTAAATAAGAATGGCTGCCACTCATTGTTTTTTTTAATAATGTTGGGCCTTGTACTAAGAAACTGTAAGTAAATTAACTCAATTCAAACAATAACCATACAAGGCAGACATTGTTATCATCATCTCTTTTTCAGGTGAGAAAACTGATGCTTGGAGAGGTGATCACTTGCCTAGGGTCACACAACGACAACTAACACGTGTAAAGAACTGGCTATGTGAAAGAACTCATTTAATCCTTACAACAACCAGATGGAGTAGTTAACTCCATTTTATAGAAGGGGAAAACCAAGGTATGGCATTTAAGTAAGTGCTCAAGATGACAGAGTTGTTGTAGTAATAAGGGGAGGAGCCAGGATTCAAACCCAGGCCCCCTGGCACCAGAGCCCCAGGCCTGACCACCATTCTGTTACTGATCTCTGGTGGGCAGGCCTTACAGATCTGTCCAACCTCCCTATTCTTCAGAGGGAAAAACTGAGGTCGAGGACCCTGGCCAAGGTCACATAGCTTAATGAGGGAGTGTGAACTGGAACCTGGTTCTTCTGACTCCGTGCTCTGTCCGTATACCACGTACCCCTTCATGAGGCCTCCCTGACCCCCAGCCCACCTGTCTCCCCCCTGCCTCTGAACTGCACTGAGTTTCTGTCTATAGCCCTCTCAGTAGAACCTGTGGCTTTGATGTGGGTCCCTTGTTTCTGATGAACCTCTTGTGCTTTCCTGTGACCAGACTGGATCAAATCCGATTCCCCATTTCTGCCTGCTCCCCGATGGTCCACTGAGTATCTCAGGCTGGGCTGAATCCTGGGGTACAGAGACAGACACAGCCCTGACCTCCAGGAGTGGGATGACCAGGGCCCTTGGCCTGCATCGTGTCAGAACTCACTGAGCTCCAGTAGGCCTGGGACCTTGGTGTTTGCTGAGGACACTGAAGGGAGATGCCCCTCCCCCACAGTTCTCAGACTCAGTCAAGAGCCACAGAGGCTGAGGCCTAGACTTACCGGAGCCCTCTGCTGTCTTGCCCGCCTCAGGATGGCAGCCCTCCTCAGCTGGGTGAAGGCTGCTCTCTTCCTCAGTAGATCATTGTAGAGGAACAGGATCCGCTTCTTCTCTCGCTGGGCCAGGGATCAATTGACATTGATCACTGTCAATGATAGTTAGTGACAGTGCTGAGGAGGAAGGCATCCCCCAAGGATGGGGTTGGTGGGCAGCTGGGCGCGGGCTGGTGTGTGTGCACGTGTGTAGGGGTGGGGAGGTCTGGGAGGGGTGCACCTTGGGGAAGTAGAAGGCTGCGATGACCCTCCGGAGCCGGTAGCCAAAAGCCTGGAGCAGGCAGAGACACACTAGCAGGCCGATGGGTAGTGCAGCCCTCAAATAGGACCTGGCATCCAGGCACACGGGCTGGGGCAGGCAGGCTGGGGGAGGGGGCAGGCCTCTCAGGGGTCCGGCCAGGGCCAGCCAAGGACAGGGCAGCCCTAGGTCGAATTCCCCATTCCAGTGGGGCTGCATTTGAGGTCTCCGATTACCCTGCTCCCCTCCTGCCTGCCCCTCACCCTGCAGGGCTGTGCTGTCAATGCTGCAGCCGCGAGGCCCATGAGGCTGTTTGTTCAAAACGGCACAGATAGAGAAAATTCCCATCATGGTGGGAAGTTCTGTGGGACAGCATTGCTCCAGAGGGCTGGGACTGTCTGGCCCCAAGGCCCCAGCCCCTAGGGCCCTCTGACCCCAGCCTGTCACCCTCCGACCCTTCAAGCCTGACCTGATGTTTCTTGCTCTGATTTCCCCACCCCAAGCATGCCGACTCTATCTCACCACACCCAAGGCCCAGCCCCCTAACTCCTTGCCCCGCAGCCCTCGATTCCTCTGAGCCAAACTGGCAGCATCACTCACGCATGTTGTTTGATTCCACCACTGTCTCCGAGGAGGTGTTCAGGGCCCCGATGGTTTTCCGAAGAAGCCGGGCAAGCATGGAGTCCCCTCCGACTTGCACCTCTAATTTATGACTGCCTGAGGCCAGGATAGGAGCCGTTGCGGGGCAGGGGGGTGTCAGGAAAGAGCTGGAGTTCGGGGGATGGGGCAGGAGGGGGACTGGATGTGGGGGAGAGGTCAAGGCACAGAAATACTTCTCAGCTGCACAGACCTTTCCATCCCTTCACTGAATACTAACCCTCCCTGTTGTAGATAAGAAGGGGGGTTGGACATTGAGGCCCTCAGTGACAGCTGTCAGGTCACAGGGCTGAGATTTGACCCTGAGGAGGACAGGGAGGGGCTGAGATGCAGAAGGAAGTGACAAAATTGGAAGAATTGGGGTGGGGTGGCTACACAGGGGTGGGGCTTCTCCAGGGGGGTGTCTCTTGGCCTGGGGCCTGGAGCAGGGTACAGGCTCACTGCGGAAGGAGTACTGCAGGAAGGAGTGGTGGCGGATGGTGTCGAAGATGGAGTAGAGAGCCCAGTCCAGGCCACACAGCACCACCAGCAGCAGCAGAACGGGCAGTGTCTCCATGAGCTCCCTTATCTGCCCAAGGAGCAAAGCTGGGCAGCGCCCCTGCCCTGGCATGGAGCCCTCTCTGATGCCTTTGCCCTCCATCCCTCAGATCCGTGCCTGGAGTTGGATCCAGAGGCCTGCCCCCCATGCCATCCTCACCACATTTCTCATTTCTGAGGCCTGGATAGTGGGCTTGCAGGGGAAGATGACAGTTTTCTCCTCGGCTTTGCGGAGTGGCAGCAGAGTCCGTTTGCCCTGGAAAAAACGTCCGCACAGTGAGGATCACCAAGGGCCCTCTCCCATTTCACCCCTGTCCTCCTGGAGCGTGAAGCTGCACAGAGCACACAGCAGGGCACTCTTGGGCAGGGCTGTGCCCACTCACCAGCTTCTTCCTGCGTTCATCAATCTGACAGAAGTAGGTGCTGATGTAGATGTTGTCAAAGCGAATGTCCCCATTATAGCTGTCCATGTAGGAGAAGGACCTGTGGACGAGGATGTCTCCATCTCCTCCAGGTTCTCTTCACCCACCCCAACCACGGGCTTCCTTGACACAGTCATTCAACCGACCAACCTGCATGCACTGAGCACCATCTGGGTTCTAGAGAAGAAGACTGTGCCCTGCCCTCTGGCAGCCCACAGTCAATAAAAGACATGCACATACACCGTGGAGGAGAAAACAGAGTGGGGGATGGGGGGCTGGGGGGTGGGGGGAGTGTCATGTAAGTGCATGGGAGGTAGGGGAAGGTTTCCCAGGCCTGGATCTTGCAGGATGAATATCAAGCAGAGGAAACAGCAGGAGCAAAGGCACAGAGAGGGGAAACCCCTCAAGGTTGCAGGAATCACCTGATCCATTA